GGGGGGGGGGGGGGGGGGGGGGGGGGGGGGGGGGGGGGGGGGGGGGGGGGGGGGGGGGGGGGGGGGGGGGGGGGGGGGGGGGGGGGGGGGAGAGGGAAGGGGGGGGGGGGGGGGGGGGGGGGGGGGGGGGGGGGGGGGGGGGGGGGGGGAGAAAAAAAAAGAAAGAGGGGGGGGGGGGGGGGGGGGGGGGGGGGGGGGGGGGGGGGGGGGGGGGGGGGGGGGGGGGGGGGGGGGGGGGGGGGGGGGGGGGGGGGGGGGGGGGGGGGGGGGGGGGGGGGGGGGGGGGGGGGGGGGGGGGGGGGGGGGGGGGGGGGGGGGGGGGGGGGGGGGGGGGGGGGGGGGGGGGGGGGGGGGGGGGGGGGGGGGGGGGGGGAAGGGAAAGAAAACAAAAAAAAAGAAAAGAAGGGGGGGGGAGGGGGGGGGGGGGGAACCCCCCCAAAAAAAAAAAAAAAAAAAAAAAAAAAAAAGGGGGGGGGGGGGGGGGGGGGGGGGGGGGGGGGGGGGGGGGGGGGGGGGGGGGGGGGGGGGGGGGGGGGGGGGGGGGGGGGGGGGGGGGGGGTTTGGGGGGGGGGGGGGGGGGGGGGGGGGGGGGGGGGGGGGGGGGGGGGGGGGGGGGGGGGGGGTTGGGGGGGGGGGGGGGGGGGGGGGGGGGGGGGGGGGGGGGGGGGGGGGGGAGGGGGGAAAAAAGGGGGGGGGAAGGGGGGGGGGGGGGGGGGGGGGGGGGTTTTTGGGGGGACCCGGGGGGGGTTGGGGGGGGGGGGGGGGGGGGGGGGGGGGGGGGGGGGGGGGGGGGGGGAAAAGGGAAAAAAAAAAAAGGGGGGGGGGGGGGGGGGGGGCGGGGGGTTTGGGGGGGGGGGGGGGGGGGGGGGGGGGGGGGGGGGGGGGGGGGGGGGGGGGCCGGCGGGGGGGTTGGTTGGGTTTTTTTTTTTGGGTTTTTTTTTTGGGGGGGGGGGGTGGTTTGGGGGGGGGGGGGGGGGGGGGGGTTTTTTTTTTTTTTTTTTTTTTTTTTTTTTTTTTTTTTTTTTTCCTTCCCTCCCCCAAAAAAAATTTATTTTTTTTTTTTTTCTTTTTTTTTTTTTTTTTGGATTAGGGGGGGGGTTTTTTTTTTTTTTTTTTCTTTTATAACTATATAAATTATAGTTATTTTTAATAACTATAAATATTTTGTATTCTGATATAATATATATTAGAATACCATAAATAAATATAGGAAAGCCAAAGAAAATATTAAAGTTCCGTTTGTAACTTAAACCACTCGATCTAGATTGTAGGCAACGTATCAATCATTCCCGCAGGTGACATCAGTACGCCGCCTACTCGAAGCCCGCGCCAATATCCGATATTTTTATAATATTACTCGCTTTTCTTATACTTCCGCCTGCTATTGACGTCATATTTATATTACTTCCTGCTTCTGAAAGGATACGCTTTTAATAGATTTATAAAACGAATGATTCTTTGTTAGTTGATTAAGTGATAGATTTTTTGGGTTGGTTTATAAGGTAAAACAGAGCCTTTTGCGAGCTTCAAGCGTGTGTTCGAATCCCAGCAAAGAACTTTTATATCTATCAGCGTCATCGATACTTGTATATATATACAAAGAAGGAAAGCACCGTGATGGATCCAGTGCGGCTTAGACCATAACCTCGACATGATTTGTCGATCGCTTTAGACAGATTCTGGGGGAGTTTTAAGGGTAAAAAACGGTTCATCTCGATTTCCGGCAAAACTAAAAGTCCTATCGAAGAAAGTTAAATGGCAAAGTTGTAGGTAATAAAAAGATCTAAAACTTTTGTATTCACACATTTTTCACATAACCTCAAAATTGGTGTGAGAAATTCAAAAAACCAAGTTTTTGGTTTTTTATTTTTATCTTTTACAAATTTCTTTTTTTTTTTAACGAAATTTGGTGAAAACTTACCTTATTATGTCCCAAATATACTGTAATTTATTTGATTAAAAATATTTATTTTTTCACCTTATTTTGAATTAATATCGAAAAAACACCCTAATTTTCAATCGAAAATTCTGACGTCAAAATTTCAGCTTTTTTCAAAAAGTTGGTGTGCTTTCAGTTCGTTGAAATCTCTACTTTCCTATGGTAAAAATATATATATATATATTACCATAGTAAATCTTCTCAGAAAATGCAAAATGAAAGCGTGCAAAATGCAAAACATCGTATGCAGTAACGCCCAGACCCGTCATACCCTTCCCTACTTCTCTATGAATCTTCTTTAAATTATAATTAGATGCCTATTTATTACTATTTTAAGATAACTTATATATACCTGAGTGACCTTAATAAAAATTTTTAGCCTTTAGATGGGCTAAAATTTTCGTATTTCATTGAGAAGTAGACGTTACTGCATACGATGTTTTGCATTTTGCACGCTTTCATTTTGATCATATTCTAATAGGTTTCATCCTACTATTATTTTTTTCACTTTTTATTTATTTTGAAGGCTATCTGCACTGGTCTATTTCCAATTTCTTCATCAATATTGATTTAACACGTTTGCTTGGCGGTCTAATTGCATTAAAATAAATTCAATGTAGCCCTCTATATTAACGTAAATACAAGAAATGCAACAAATATTTTAAGTTGTTACTTATTATAAGTATAAGTATTGTTGCTAAGTAAAACTTTATAAACGCAAGTAGGCAACAAAGAAGGACGGCTAAAAACTTACAAAGTCTGCAATTTCAAACGTTCTGCAGTAATTTAAAGGGATTTAAAACTAATTATCAACTTCACTAAAGTTACCGAGTAAATTAGGTCGTCAAAACGCGAAACTTTTGGTATCTATACAGGGTTTCGTGCTACAAAAGTTTAGGTTTGTTTAGGTCTTTCCAGTCAACGAAATTTAGTTTGGGGAAGTTTATGCTTAATTACTATAATCAGGGCATATTTAGAGAACTATTGTGTTGCCTGGAGAGGGAAAACCGCAAATTCGGCCCCACATGGAATACTGTTCTCACCTCTAGCGGGAGCTCCCCAGTACCAGCACCTTCCACTAGGCCGTATTCAACGAAGAGCGTTTCGAATATATTTTATATTTTGTTATAGTTTATAATCGTGGCTTGTGTAATTCTTGTTTCCTTTTCTTTTGCATTGCATCAGTATTAGCTGTTCATGAATCTGTAAGATTAGCTTTTAAGTTTTTAGTTTGTCATTAATATTTTTTTTGTATTACTTTAGATTAAGGTTCTATATTTTTTTTTATATAAAATTTAGTTCTGCACTTCTCGCATTCATCATGTTTTTTGCTTATTAGCGATAAGGCCGCCCGTTGCATCGCTTATAATTTTTGTGTATTGTGTTATTTGTGTTTCTTTTATTTTTAATGCAATGAAGTGAGAATAAATAAATAATCAATTAATTAAATGAATAAATAATGACAAAAAAGTTTAAGTACGCGCACAAACGTAAGTCTCGGCAATCAGATTCCAATATTGTTAAATGATCCTAATCCTTGGGGTTGATTTGCTCCAGTTCAAATATTTATAGCTGCTTTACAAACAATTTGTATGACTCAAAACTTGGCGATTAAAAAGAGTGGCAGAGAGTTTCGTGCCAGTTCTTAATGCCCGCTCTACGCCCTTGACTTGCGAACTGGTAATAAATATAAATTTAGAATGAATTTAACATCTTTTTTGTTGACTTTTATAATAAAAATTAATAAATTTGCCCTATTTTGCATTTATATGGATAATATATTATTATAACCATAGAATGCATCCAACCAGGTGTTGGCCTCAGAATACATACATTTCTTTGGCTAATTTTTAGTTGTTAGACAAGTTGATTTTGACATTTATTTGGATTCGAGATACATATTTCGAAACACACGAGTAAGTGTAATGCGGGCCATAGACGGACCGCATGTTGCAGTCAAGACCGACTGCAATATGCGGTCGCGGCACGGAAATCTGCAGTTTCCATACTAAATTCATATTCGCAATACACGGACCGCTCGAGCAGTTCCTGAGCAAACCGCATATTGCAGCTGATACCGACTGCTCCAAGCGGTCGCCGCACGGTGATCTGCAGTTTCCATACTAAATTCATATCCGCAATACACGGACCGCTCGAGCAGTTACTGAGCGGTCGGAGCAGTCGCTCTGCGGTCGAGTTTTGCCGTGCGGTCGACTGCTTAGAGCTGCCGGACCCACCATCAAATGAAACCACGAACATTCTAAAGTAGTTGAAAAATTTTTTAGTGTCTTCTCTCATTTGGGGATACAACGTATGAAATATTTCATGCTGTTCTCTTGATTGTAGTATTGGACGCACCCACATACTGCGGTGTCTTCTACGCCTACGCTTGCGTAGTAATAGAACAAGAATCAGTGTTTCTTCATCGAAATCCATCCTGTAAATGAACTCGCATCAGTATTATTTTGCGGTCAAACACAACTGCTCCTAGCAGTCGACTGCATTATGCGGTCGTGTTGCAGTCGTGTACGACTTCAACGCGACCGCTCTACAGCAGTCGGTCTCGACTGCAACATGCGGTCCGTCTATAGCCAGCGTTAGATGTGCACATAAAACAGTCCATTAGTGCACAGCTGGGGATCGAACCTATGACCTCATGGGTGAGCGTCGTACGGTGAAGCCCTACTACTGCCAACACTCCTCTGGTTAGGATTCAGGAAGAAAAACACTCGACTTTTAATAATACTCAAGCTCTAACCATAAGCTTCTACCAGAGAGCTTTAACCAATGAACATGGATAAATTAACTTAAAATTGTATGCCACATTATCATCTTCTATATAATATGTAGGTATATAATACAAAGTTATTTTTTTAACTAGTATATTCTTCTTCGTAATTTAACAAAAACTGTCATTTTGACAATTGTCAGATGCAAAATGTAAAATAAACACATTAGTGCGAAAATTTAATTAAAAATTTATAAAAAATGAGTTGAATTTGCTTGCACCAAACATTGAAACTCAATGTTTCATTTATAATTCTGTATCATTCAAATCCAAATGGGTGTACCAAATAGTAAAGAAATGGTTGCCAGACGACGCATTGACACAGCGACGAGCAATTCTAGGTAAGAATAATATCTTAAGACTATCTGTAATGAATGAGAATGTAAGAAGGAGGATGGATGAAACCGTGCTTTCAATAGCCATACGGGACATAATTTTGTAACAAACTTTATTGTTCAACGTGTAAGTTTTCAACGCTGGCCCCTACACTAGGACATACCTGTGTTGTGGTTTACCAGACTCTTCTGAGGTACAAAAAAGAATATTTTTTTGCGTTAGCAATTCACTAAACGCCACCTGTAATTCAAATTGGGTTGGACTTTACAATCGGTCGCCCGAATTTGATGATACTGATTATGCAGGAGTCTCGGGGGACCTTGATTGGAACACCTCCAAGTGATTTTTGCTGCCGGAAATGCGTCTAAGTATTTTATGCGTTAAGCTCATACGGTGAAGATAAACATCTTAAAAGAAAACGGCTCGTCTAAGATCATATCATTAAATCAACAGAATGTGTCAGATATTTGTTTATTACAGCATTCCAAAACATTTTAACTAAATATATTATAAAAGTGTCATACATTATATAATTAAAAGTTTTATTTATGCAATTACCAGAAAACCTTTTGCTATACATATATGTAGTACGTTTTTAAATCACGGTATATATTTCCCCCACGCTTCACAAATACGTCACTCTCCGAACATACGAGGGTGATCACTTAATTCTAGAACCGTTACCTGTTTACATTATTGATGTATTCTTTTCAATACTTTAATACGTTTCCCGGGTTTCAATGACTTCTCATAAATCTTGAACCACTAGCAGAACTATTTAGGTATTGTTACACACAATTCATGAAAACGGAATCAGTCTCTTTGCACTTACACCTTATCTAAGGTACTGTTTCGTCTCTTTCTGTTAAGTTATGTTAAGGTAGTGATTAAAAGAGACATGAGTACTTTTTTGAAACAGTGCAATTATACAAGATTATGATAGATTAAATCGTTTCAATAGAATTTAGTTGTACATTAAGGTTTCAAATTTTATATTTAGAATAGATCCTATTGCGACGAGCTTCTGAAGGCACCTTTTTGTACATAAGAAGCAGCATGTTAGGTACACATTAAGACATTGAGAAATGTGTTTTAAAATCTATTTATGCTCATTATTTTTTGCAGTCTATCGAACCTGCGCTACGTAATACAGAGTAACAAATCTAAGTGGAAGATGTTTCGGAAGAGGGAGTAAGTTTACAGAAAGCATAATTAAACTAATGCAGTATATTCTACTCTTTTGTGTATTGACATTGGTTACTGACATTTTTTTAAACCAACAAGCAACTTGAAGTATTTTTTTCTTATAAAATGACGACCTTCTAAACTCATTAAATTAAAAAAAAAACAGCTTATGCTTAAGATCTATTTAATTCAACTTATACCCGATGTCGGAGTAATGGCGTTACTGTCAGCTGTCGTCATTATACGTAACTGAGTTCATAAATTAACAATGTCAAATTCAAATTAATTCAACTGTCAATGTATAATAATAATGACTAATTCGTTGTCAGTTGTTCCACGTGTGTAAGATTACCTTCTTGAGCCATTATTTAGTTGCTGCTCTCGCTGTTGTTCCTAGTTCCCTTTGACTTCTCAGTGTTTTACCTATAATTCCGTCATATATTACTGTTTAACAGAATGGCGCCTATACCAGCATATACAGCAGCATCTCTGAAGCCGAAAAAGGGGTGCCCATGTGGCAGCGAAGGTCCATGCAAGCAAAAAGTTACACCCAAAGGAGTTACAATACATTATCCACAAAAGTAAATCTTAGTTTTGTCTATTTATTTTCTATAAAATTTAATTCAGACTTATTGCACCGTCTTAACAATGTGTTCATCGGACCTTTTCATGACTTCGTAAACACAACTTGACAGAAAGCGACGAAATAGTACTTTAGTTAAAAGAACGCACTACACCAGTGTTTTCCAACGTGGGGCCTACGCCCCACAGGGGGGCAATTTGATTGTTAAGAGGCTATTCTAAAATGTATTAAATTATTTGGAATTTGATTTTCAGTTTTCAATTATATGTTTTGAAAATTTACTTACTGTGTTTAAAACCTATCATAAGTGAATTTTTTTTAATATTAAAAATTACATAGGGAAATTTTAGAAGGGCAAAGTTGGGGCATGGCATGAACAGGTTAGGAAGCACTGGTGCACTACACTGATTTATTTTTATGAATACGGGGTCCGTCTTTATATATATTAACTACTTTTAATATTTATCATAGACTGTAATTTTGTATTCTATAAAATAATAATCAATGTAGCTTCAGCGCCGTATAGACGTTCTTTCTTTAAAAGAAGTTTGTTGTTTCACATTGATAAACCATCTTAGAAAGTCAAAAGACTAGACACGACATGCAGATTATTTCTATGTTTGATGAATTCAGTCAAATCTCCAAATTGAACGTTGCTATGAATACGTAATACACATGATACAGATGATAATTTCCTGAGCTACGTGCAGACGTGCTACGGGTTAAGTTTATGAGGTTCTAAGTATTAAGGTCGTAGGTTTAATAATTTGGTTTTTGTAACAATTTCAATCAGGTCTTTAAGCGCCATAGTACATGTTTAACTATTTTATATTAATTTATCGTCAATGATGTTTAAGTTCACAATTATTTTATCGTGCCAGCAAACGTTACATGTAATGATATCCGGTATTGCACAGCCAGGCATTAGTAGCAGAGTCTTTGAAACTTACTCAAAAATTCTTTATGAAAAAATGTTTTTGGGAAATACATGAGGTTTACCTGTTCAAAAGATTTGGTTAATATATCAAGTAAAGTCAAGTCAAAAATCATATAATCATATAGGTAACACAATATACATTAAATGTTTCTAATTTTTTACATTTACTGCCAGTTCTCAAATCAGGGGCGTAGAACGGAAGAGAAGAACTGGCAATAAACTCTCCGCCACTCTTTATAATACCCAAGTTTTTTGTTTTACACTTATATACTTAAGTAACGACGATCTGATTACAATACGAGGAAGAATAATGGTGGACATATTATGTTTTTCTGAAAAAATCATATTTGCAGGAAGAAAAAGTTATTTGGACCAAGTAAAGCCTATATACCACCAAAACTGGAAAAAAGCTACTATGGCGGTAACAATAGGTTAGTAGTCGAGAAATAATACTCCATAGAAATGTAGTTATTTGTAGTATATTTAGAGTAGTTTTAAATATAATTATTGTACTGCTGAGCTATTTAGAATCAATGAAATTATTTTTCGTAGCAAATCATTTCACCCAAAAAGTGCGAGACGTGGAATCGCGAAGAAAATATGTAAAAATAAGTCCTTTCCAATGCCCTTCTTCTTTAACTAAGGTATGTTGTGTTCAAAGATTAACATCGTTCATTTTTATATCTATTAAATTTGGTACTGGCAATACACAAAGAATGATAATAAAAACAGATCTTGGACTAGGATTGTTTATAATTAGGACAACATTAGGGGTAGGGATTCCGACGCTACATTAAAAAAACCTAACTAGACTTATTGAAGAGTTCATTAATCTAAGTGACGTTATGGTAATAGACATTATCGGAAACGGGAATGTTAAATTACAATTTATGAGTGTGGTAATAACTAAGGGCTCATATTGGCTTCAAGTGTGCGATGATTCTTGACATTTTGTTAACGCTTCTAATTATTAACTAAAATATATATATATTATGCAACTTAACTAATTTTAGGTTAGATAACTCTAGCTAGGAACAGTTTATATTGGAAAATTAAATTGTGGTTTTAGTATTTTTCTTTACTTATTATTTGTGTTTCCCACCGTTCAAACCTTCTCGGAACTTCCACAAATATTTCAACATCATAATTAGCCAAATCGGTCCAACCATTCTCGAGTTTTAGCTAGACAAACGAACAGCAATTAATTTTCATATATATTATATCATTATAAGAACTATAGTATAATTATACTCTTCACTAAAGAATGTTTGTTTTGTTAATATATTATTGAAAAACTCTGAAAACAGTGGTAAGTCAGAAACAAGAATGAGAGATTGTTGTCGTTCAGCTAATTTTGAATAAATATATTCGTTTCATTACAGTTCTCGGCCCAAAGTGAAGATAGTACGGGAGAGGAAGTTCCCGACCTGGAGATTAGACAAAATATACTACAGGTACTAGGCATTTTAAGTTAATGCCCCATAAAGTAGTGAATTTTACGAGCTAGGATTTGCCAACTTTTTGAGCTTAATTAAAGGTGAAAATGGTGTACGGTGTTGCATGTCTATAGTGCGTGACGTTTTGTTAATATCTTTGTACGAATACGCTCCGTATTCTGACATTTTGAACGGATTATTATATGTGCATTTTATTTAAGTTTATTTAATTAGAACACAACTCCAAGGAATTCCAAGATGTACTAACACCTATTAACACCCTTTACTGCAAATTAAATACTTTATATGCTAGATAGATTTTTTCGTCGAACGAATTGAGTTGGGTTGTTCAAAATTAACGCGAACAAAATCAAAATAAAAGCTAATAGTAAAAAAAACACACTTTGGATAGAAAGATTTAAACGTGACGAATATTATTTATATTTATTAAGATCATTTGATAATGAAATATATTTCTGTTTCAGGCCCCGCTTTTGAGCAAAATGTAAATGTACTATGAATGTTTTGTTTTAATAAACCATTACTCAATCAATTATTGTTATTTTTCTTATTGAGTACAATGTAACAGATGAGAACTTAAAAAAAAGGGACTTGCTTTGTTGAAGCCTGAGGTATCGGGTTCGATTTAGGTTTGTGGCAAGAACCGTTAAATTTGATTGTTTGGTTAGAAACATGATACCATAAATTTGTTTGAAACCTCTGGTAAAGGCTTAAAGTGGCGGCCTAATAGCCGGTCTTATTAAGTGGCAGCTAGGTGAGGGGTACCGGGTTCGATTCCCGGTTCGAGGGCAAGTTTTAATTTAATTTAAATTTGTACTCGGCCTTTGGGAGGGTTGTGCGGTACCGGGCGAGTGCTTAAACCGTACATGGAAGACACGGTCGAATTTCTAAAGACAAGCACGAATTATAAAAAAATCCTATACTTGACGCTGGCTAATGCGCAAATCGTGCCAGAGCCATAATAAAAAATAAAAAAAGGCTTAAAGTACTAGTGAATAATCTACGTATAGTGTGTTGTAGTGGTGTACCAATCATTCACGTTTTCAAAGATAGGTAGGGTACAAATCATTATTTTCAATTCCATGTGTCGCCCGACCCATGTCAGAGCACTTGTGACTTTTATCTCGTAGTAGATTTAGAAATAACTCAGTTTATTGGCTGTCTTCGAAGGCTCTCAATAAAATTACATACATTACTCTTGATATTGTATGTCAATAACAAATCTCACAGATTTTTATAATACTCATTAATGTTCGCCTTGCCATGAGGTCGTGAGTTCAGACAACTACTAAAAATAATAAAAATGTGTGTAATAGTTTTTATTTTCTAAATTTTCCTATGGTTTCTACAAATATAAATAATACTATCTAAAGAAAAAAGTGTTGGCCTAGTGGCTTAAGCGAGCGATTCATCCCTGAGGTCGTAGGTTCGATCCCCGGCTGTGCACCAATGAACTTTCATTTTATGTGCCCATTTAACATTCGCTTGAAAGGTGAAGGAAAACATCGTGAGGAAACCGGCTTGCCTTAGTCAAAAAGTCGACAGCGTGAATCAGGCACAGGAGGCTGATCACCTACTTGCCTATTAGATTGACAAATGATCATGAAACAGATTGAGGCCCAGACCAAAAAAGGTTGTAGTGCCACTGATTTATTTTTATTTATTTTATCTTTATATGTAAAACCTCAATATAAGCAAGTGACCAAACGAGTCTAGATGACGGTCGTTAGAAATTCAATTTTATTATCAAAACTTAAAAATGTCAATCATTGTTAATATTCTAAACAAATCGTTCAAATTCTAAGTAAATAAAGACTAAACGAGGTCAGATACTATTACCTTAAAATATATTAGCAAAAACAATGTCGAAGTAATCTAAGTTAGAGCGAGTGATTGAAGTCGAGACATTCTTGGGTTTTAATGAGCAACTTTTAATTACTTGTTTACAAATAAACAGTATTCGGTTTCTTAATGGACTAAGATTTGAAAAGGGTTGATTTCAATTTATGGAAGTTATTTGAAATTCGAAATAATGATTGTTATTATGGTAATTTGGAACGTAATGCTGTTTTTTGTAAGTAATAGAAAATATGTTAACAACAAAGCGTACTTTAAGTTATATGAACGAAATTATCCATTCACGTCATCATGGAATTAACTGCATGTATTTAATAATTTAACCCGCCATATATGTGCCATAAGATGTTAAAGATGAGTTAACCTCTCGCATCGTTAAAACATGATCTAATTTTTTTTTTCTTAATTGGACAATTCACACCAATTGACCTAGTCCCATGCTAAGCTGGTGAAGCTTGTGTTATGGGTACTAGGCAACGGATAAACATACATATGATAGATAGATAGACATATAAATACATATTTAAACACCCAAGACCTAAACACAACACCAAATGCTCATCACATCGATGTTTGTCTCAGCCGGAGATCGAACCCGGGACCCATGGATTCGCAGTCAGGGGTACTAACCACTAGACCAATGAGTCGTCCGTTCGTCGCTCCACAACTGAGCGTTTTTTAAGGCAGTCTTTGCCACTACTCGTATGTGGAACCAGCTGCCCACTAAAGTATTTCCGAACCAATTTGACTTAGGGTCCTTCAAAAAAAGAGCGTACCAATTCTTAAAAGGCCAGCAACGCACTCGCGAGTCCTCTGGCGTTGAGTGTCCATGGGCAGCATTATCACTTAACATCAGGCGAGCCTCCTGATTTTAAGTGATAAGCCCGTTTGCCCTGTTCAATTAAAAAGCGGCGAGACAAAAGATAATATAATACTTATGTTAAATAATCAAAATTACCTGAATAAACCATTCATTAATGACAAAAAACTACAAAACAGTACGTTACAGTACGTAAGCACAACTCCCGGTTTTGACTTACGGAAGTCACACTAAGTCTTGACTCAGAGCAGTCCTTTTGTAGTACAATTTTGTATTGCAAAAGAGGACTAGGAGACTATGGAATCTAGGTATAGAGTCTAATTAACAATCCTGTTAGTAAAAGAGCTAAAAACTAATGTTATAGATAATAGTCATTAAAAGATGTTTTACTCGAGCAAGAACTACAATTAATCCAACACCGTAATTATTGCCCGTGACAATCCGAATAAAAAATCACAACCACAGAATACAATGAGCAGTAACTTATTGAGAACAAGTGACAAATTGTACAACCTGTTTCTTATTAAACGTTCGTTGCATTATATGTTTATAGTTTTAAGTTTAGTTAAAGGCAGCGTTGGCATAGTGACTCTCATCCCTAAGGTTGTGGTTCGATCCCCATTATGAATGGACTTTCTATTGCATTTAGCACTCGCACCAACAGTGTAGGAAAACGGCATGTTTGTCAGGCACAGAAGGCTGATCACCCACATCCGTATTAGAAAAAAACAGTAATTGATTTGAAACAAATACATATATCTGAAGTCCAGATCTAGAAGGACCACGTTTATATTGTTACGAGCTAGGGGATCGGATAGAAACGCCGTAGATTTCTTCAAGGGTTTATTTCTAATTAAATCTACGAGGAATTTGTTAACACTAAAAATTATAATTACGCACTGAAATTCACTAAATACACACACACAATAATGTCACTAATTACTCTAATAACACGCACTTCACACAGTACTTGTATTCACTTTGTCACTCCGGTGTTTATCGCTTGGTATCGCATTCAAAACTGAACTAACTGGTCGCGTTTCGGCTCGCTTATATTTCCCTGGGAGCGATGTTCGAGAACTCTCTAGGCGGCGGCGCAACTGAGTAGCGATCGCACAATTCTAGAACGTGCGTACTAGCTATCTCTTTCGCACATTGCTCCATCCTTGTCGTACGGCGTTCTAGAGTGCTCGGTCTAGCTTCGAGAAGGTTCCGATCTTCCCTCTCTCTCGCGTATCGTTCCGTCCTTCTCCCACACCTAGAAAATTCGTTCTAGAACATTCCTTCGTCAAAGGGGTATAACCAGGCCTGAAAACGCCTGAAAACGGGTTTCCTGAAAAGTGTACCATTCGACTACGCGTGTTCTGAAACGGCCTGAAAAAAATGTTTCAGGCTCCTGAAAACTAGGGTAACATTATGTAAATTGCGATTTTCTAATATGTGATTGACCCTCCCCTGAAACGGTCAGAAATCACATTTCAGCCTGCTGAAAAGTTCTCTAAGTAGTGG